GTATAAAATGCGACAAGAATGTAACAGAACCAGCAACTCCCCTTCGCAACAGAAAAATGGCACGGGAACAAAGTCCAAAGTTACTAATAAATATGCGGCCACAGCTAAAACTAAAAAAACAATGTTGAAAGTCAAAACCCTTTCCGTATTCGCTCTTTGTGAGAGGCTAAGGCACTCGCAGCGTACTCGAGTGGTAGCGAAATTTCAAAAGTAACCATTCACAGGTAAGGCTGCGAAAGTTTCGTCTTTTGTGGATTGCTTAAAAGTACTTAATTTCCCTTGCATATGTCAATAACCAATTTACATTTCAAGAGAATGAACAAATCGTCGAAGGCTTAGTTGTCACATGTCTACAGCAACTTTCAAAAAGAAACCATTATGAATGGATTTACTGACACAATCAAAAACCTACACTTGAACGTTGCAGATTTGAAAGCATTACACATAACGATACACCTTCGGCTCCATCTTCTATTATCTTCTCATCTGTTACGTCAAAACACTAAAAAACAAGTGGCGCTTTTTTCTTCTTTCATTTTCATGTAATTTTTATATTACTTAGACCTTCAATAATAGCAAAAACAGTAATTTTTTTTATTCCCAAGTGAACTTAATTCAGCCATCCGAATGGCTCTAAATTTTCTATTTTCCAAGACTGCCAGCATTCAGCAATCAAGCGATGCTGCATTTAAACAAATGTAAAAGTTATAAGCTGCACAGATGAAACTATCCATAACTATTTACATTGTTCTAGATCATAATTTGCATGGAGCGTACTGCTGATTCCTACTCTTATCTGCTCGCCCTGTTCGTCTTTGTTTACAGCTAAGGGATGAAACGGCGTGCTTACTTCCTGTTATTAATTAATCTTATGATCTATAATTCCGTTGTTTTCGATTTCACTATAACTCGATATTAGATCAAATTTTCCAACTACTACTCATTTAACTCAAAGTTCTTGTCCCCTTTTTTTTCAAATATAATCTTCCTTAATCCTGCGATTATTTTTATTCACAAAAATAAACCTCAGCAAAGCGTAAATGCGCGATATGTGAAAGTGCGTTAGGAGTTGGCTTCAAGCGTGTGCATTCCGCACTTATTTCATCATTCATATCATCCACACTACTGAACACGTAAACTTTATTCGTGAAATGTCCGGCGTAATCGTACCAAATGATAACACGCAATTTTTGCTCGGTAAAATCAACATGCACCGGATTTGGTAACTCTGCAAACATGAATAATAATAACAGTAATAATAATAGTAGCAATAATAGTAATAATAATAGTAATAACAGTAGTAGTAACAATAGTGATAATGATAGTAATTATAATAGTAACAATAATGGTAATAACAATGGTAATAATAATAGTAGTAATAATAGTAATAATAATTGGCCAATGCACCGACAGCCGGTGCGAAGATGCATTTTTTTGTATAGTTCCCCGCAGTTTTTGTCGTTTCCGGCAAATGTTCTAACTAACAAATTAAGACTGGCCTCCAGAGCTATCAGAAAACACCCCCCTTAAAATTTCAGCTTTCTAGCTTTCCTGGCTCGCGAGTTAGCAACTTACCCGAAAAAAAATTTCACGGGCCCGTACTTGGGTACCACGCATACCCAGTGTCTGAGTTTGAGCTCATTAATACCTATTTGGATGGGGAATATCTCCTTAAAATTCCATTCCTCTAACTTTTCCCGAGTTAGCAGCCTATCCGTAAAAAATTCCGCGGGCAAGCAAGTGGGTGCCACGCATACCCGGTGTCTGGATTAGAGCTCATTAACATCTACGTAGACGGGAAATGTCCCCCTAAAATTTCAGCTTTCTAGCTTTTCTAGTTCCCGAGTTAGCCACTTACCCGCAAAAAATTTTCACGGGCCCACACGTAGGCACCACGCGGGTAAGAGCGCTCATTTTGGGGGTTGGGACTAGTACGTCCAGGTAGACTAAGCTCCCAAAATTTCAGACCTGTAGCTTTTACAGGTCTTGAGATGAAAAAGCGGTACAGATGCACACACACACACATGGACGCACAGACAACCCCTCGTCAATGTGGGCTTTCTGCACTGCATAGATGCAAAAAACGCGTAACAATAGTAATAATAACTGTTATTATTACCATTATTGACAATAATGGTAACAATTACATGAATTATGTCTGCTAATTATGCACAACTTAGCTACTGTGACAACACCGGCAATGCTAATCTACCAGTCCTACACGTGAATGTGTCAAGACTGTTAAGACCAATGTATGTGAAGAAACACCCAAAATTTAAAAAATATTTACATTTTAAAAAGTACATCATCTACTCATCACAAATTTTGTCGGAGTACTTCCCCAATTCTTTAGATATTTTAACAAACAAAACCGGAAGACAGACAATATCTATTGACTTTTGACACCTTCGTTGGCAAACTGGTATTAGAACGTACCAGAAGTGGAATCTACCATCATCTTGCTTATAAGCAACGCTCAAAAAGAAAAACTGTCGAAAGTCTTGTCATCGGATGGTTGCTATTCGTGCTTATTCATTTAGAAAAATTTCCGAGTTCTTCTGCCTCTCACGTAAAGCGAATACGAAGATGGTTTTGACTCTGACATTCGAGAATTTTTTATAAGGAAAAAATGTAAAAAGTAATATGCGAAGGTTCCATACCATGCATGTAACGCCAATGAAGTGTGTGATAAGTGAATGATACGGTATGACCAGCACAAATC